TTGAGGTGCAGGAGAAATGGAGGCAGAGAATTGGGATATGGGGGGGGGGGGGCACCTTTATTTCATCAGTTGTTTGACTTTGGCCAAATCATCATGGCCAAAGCAGTTTCCAATTAAGGGCGCGTTAGCAGTGACTAGGGACCCATGGTACAATTCATCATTATCATCTTCATAATTGTCTGAAAATATGGGCGGTGGATGCACATGCAGTGCTCGGGTGGTACACAAAATCTGCAACAGTTTGCACGCATTTTTGTGTACATGAAACAATAATTATTTGTGGTAAAAAAGGTCGTATTTGGAATTCTTACTGGAGCCTACAGAAAAATGTGCTTGTTTGAAATACACAACTATTGTATTGGAGATATCCAACGGCATCTTTTAAACGTGGATTTATAGAAAGACGAGGACAATTTTATCAAAAAATAAAATTCCCAGCGAATGTGTTTTTTTAATGTATAAAGTATTCTAAAATCCATCACCTCTAAATTAACATCATGCAGGTCCACTAACCGTGCACTGGGCCAGTAGCGTGCAAGCTTCCATCGGAGTCAACCGTCATCACGATGCCAACTGCCATTGGCTTAGTGGACCTATGGGTTGGGGGCCTTTGTCTGCCAATTTGTGATGAACGAATACAGTTATGCTGTCACTATTTGAGCGCGTGATATCACATCCAATATAAGCTTTACTTTGGCAGAATAGCCAGTGTAAATGAGGCAGCTGAAATAAATTATAGGTAATTTATTTGCAATTTATTTTTGTTGTTGTTGTGGGGCAGCTTCGAAATAGTATATGAATAGTTGTGACAAATGCTTGCAAACAGAAAATCGTGGTCAGCGCTCTCCCCATCTCTTGCTTTTTCCATTGTGCGCCCATTGCATTCATTTTCCATAGTCCATCAAAATTAAATTACTTTTCAAATCCTTCCATGGAACTGTTTACTCTGACAACACACAAATGTGTATAAAGCCACGGACTTTTTCCTTGCCTTCAATCAGTTCAGGAAAACAAAATAATTAGCTTTCGTACAATAATAGAGTTTATTGTGCTAAGGATTTTCAGTGTACATCAATTTTCCTTTAACAGCTATTTAATGCACACCAATAACACGAACCTTAAAAACGTGTGGGCATCACATTAATAATGCAGCTAATGCGTTATGTCCTCAGCCTCATGTCTGCCAAAAACCTGTCCCATCGCTCATTTCTACTGAAATTCTCCCAACATGCACTGCTCTTGATACTCTATCCTTGTAAAATATAAAAAGTAGGGGGGGGGGGGGGGAAGACGACTCCTCAGGCATTTGGCAAGACTAGTCCTTACAAATTATTCACGATGCTGAAATATTCATTATTGTTTTTTCTTTATCCCCATTTACTTTCTTGTTTGAAAAAGCCCAGCAGTGCACGCATATTCTTTGTAAAATCATAATAGTTTCTTTTTTAATGAAACACCAGGAGCAAGAGGGTTGAGGCTTTGGTTAATGTTCAAAGAGTGCCGCCAGAGTGACGAGTGTGCTGCTAAATTGGTTTGTTTCCCCTTTGCGTCGTCGCAGCAATAACAACTCGCCCACTCAGGGGTTCTGATCTTGCAGCTTTGTTCCACATATAAAAGGGGCCCCCAGACGCCCGTCAATACTGCAATCGAACAGTTGACAATGGTGGCTTGCGCTTCCAGTTAACCAGACGACGCACTGCTGGTGCGCGTGTGCACCATGCGCAAAGGGTTGGGTTGTTTTTTTGAAACGGAGAATTGCCATCTTTGAGGATTTAAGTAACGGTGATATTGATGAACCATTGAGTCAAAAACACCTGCATGTGTGTTTTTTTTCTTTACCAGGACACGAGTATAAACACGCGTATGTATTTGCAATTTTTAATTGTTTTATTAACTACACTTATAATGTACCATTACAATGGCCTTAAAGGTGAGAAGTAAACAAAACATATGCAAAAACAGATGCTGTATCACTTTACCGGGCTGGAGAAAACAAATCTAAGAATGCGATATGACTATAGAGCCTTCATATGAAAGTGTGGAGGTGGAGTAATGGCACATTGGTTAGTGCACAGTGCCCGATGAACCTAGCTACCAGAGTTAAATTCTTATCCATGGCTAACATGAGTGATATCTGAACTCGTTCCTGGACTCCCTTCAGAAGACTGCATTGACCAGCGTGCTATAAAGTATGGGACTAACAACGGCCATGACTGAAACGACATGTAGAGGCCTTCATCAAGCAGTGTTGTGACAAAATACTGCACGTTATTATGATAAGTGTAAACGTGTTTCACAAGAATCCAATAGAGGTGACTGGATGGAAAATAAAAGCACAAAGTGCATTGGTTTTTAATGACCCGCCGCACATTTATGAACCCATTCCAAACATTTTCCGACCACCTCTCTCTCATTGACGAAGGTATCAAATAAATAATGCTTTCTGGGAAGTATTAAAATGGATGTTCTAAAAAAAGAGAACATTACGTTTTAATAACTGGAAGTTAAGAAGAGGCGAGGCAATGCAGATGTTAGTTCAGCCACTGGTGGCCTTATTTAATTAAATAAGATTATTAGCTTTGAAGGCACAGCGAGTTCCATTGGCTGGGGAAAGGATGACGAAACTTAATCAGTGTTTAGTAAAATGAAGCTGTATTCTCTAATGGCAAACATTGATAGTGGAGATGGTTAAGAGTTACGAGGGTTGTACGTAATTAAGAAATGAATGAATACGTGTTTGAGATATCTTGCAGAATGAATGAACTTTCAGAGAAATAGTTAACATTGCATATTAGTTTCAGTAATTTCCTAAGCCATGTATTGAGAATTTGGTATTAATTTACATTTCACATCCATAGGTAAATAATGGCCAAAAATATATTGAAACACAAAGTTGATGATGCACATCTGGAAGGTAAATGACCCTGGTTAAAACCACACATTTAATCATGAAACACTTTCTAAACATGTTACGTTTAAGAAAAAGTTACGGACAATTTAATATATATTTGTGTTAAGTGAAGTAAAGTGCGCACATAACACACAATTATTGACTCCAGCAAGCTGCAGGGAGCTTACTTTGAGCGATTTAATGTTATTTGCTATTAATAAAATGTAACCACAATGGATTTATTTTGCAACAAAAATCTCCAATATTTGCGAGGACAGGTCAACTGGCCGAATATCCCACTGCCAAGTGGCTCACTATATTGCAATGCACTTCCCAGGTTGTGTTGTAACATGCCATTTTTTTGTATTGGAACAACCAACCAAGGGCTCCATTATTGCTTTGGTGGCTGACAAATCACAGAGGACACTAATCATATAGAAACACAACCAAGTCTCCCTTGCAGAAGAGCTTTAATGTCTCAATGGGCTCACAGCTGCTAAAGTAAATGCTACCAAACGGAGCCTGACCTTCTGCAGGCATTTCATTGGTGAAGCATATTGCCTTGTGCTTGTCATATTCTTCCTTCGTTGCAACGTAGTCAAGCAAAAACAAATTAAGTGGTAAATCATGTGGTCCAATCAAATATATTAATATTTGCCAGGAATACGTGGGTAAACCCCAAGCCAGGAAGTGATAGCTGTTAATTTGTTTAGTAATTTGCCTGTGGGTATTTTAGAGCTGTGGGATTTGGGCTATAGTACTGGTGGTACACGAGGTTCTCTACACGTTGGAGCAATGTCACAAGTCGTTTGAATATACATCAATTGTATGCTGGCTACTGGCTACCTAGGGAAAAGAAACTGTCCCCTTTGTAACACGTGACTTTGCGGTGTGTTGGCCACCAATGCATTCAGCCAACTTGGATATAAATAGTAGTTAAAAATTAGTTCACAAAACCCTGCTGACCACCAGGCCACGCCACTGCCGTGTAAAGAAAAAAAATAATACACCATAAATAAATCCACAAAAGCAGGATCGATGGGGGCATTAATAATTAAGCGGGACAGCACTTAAACAAACCGCTGCGTAGAACATTCTGCTCATAATGCAACGCACATTGGGGTTCAATCGTTTCCAAATGCGCAGACATCATCTGCGCTGTCGGTGCGGCTGTGGGGTGTACAGTACACGCGCCGTGACAGCTGCTGCTGCGCTAGAGTTGGGTCTGAGCCCATCCAGGGATCACCGTCTGCGTGACGGCTCTGCAGTGCAAAGTGATTGCTCGTGAATTATCTACGTGGATTAAATTGTTTTAACCGTGCGCATGCTTTTGTGTATGCTATCTTATCTCCCGTAATCGCAAATGGGATTGTACGAATGCACGATGTATCATTTTGCACGCGATGACCAACATTTTTTTTGCACATTCGTTAATTGCTGTACTTTAAATTGACCCGTATGTGCAAACAAATACCGTAAATATTTGCATTCTTGACTCTGCTGCTACAAATAATAATCCTACAAAGCATACACATGTTCAATTGACATATTATAAAACAATTACTTGTGTCTTGGTTCCAATGTTGTGTTTAGAAAACAACACTCCCATTACATTCAAATTTCAAATCGGGCTACAATTCGCTTGCACCGTCACGATGAGGAAATTTCCATTCAGTGCATTCACTTCGTGCAATCTGACCTCCTTCCGTCACTACATCCTGGGTCAGGAGGACACTACAAGTTCAACGTACACTAGTACCCATTTACATTGACACATCAGAGCCCAAGCCAGCGTTGCGCCCTCACGGTATGGGTGGTTTTCCACAAGGCCTTTGCCATACTGGGCCGGAACCAAGCCACGATACGTCGGCCTCACAAGACACCCACATCTTGCTCCAGGGTTAAGCAGGCCCAGGGGCCAGGCTAAATAACGCATTCATTGCATGCGACATCAGTCAGTGCACCGCGAGTACACGGCTACGCCGCATCATCGACACGCGCCTCGACTGGTTCAACTATGAGCGACGTCATCGACTTGGCCGCGATGGCTCGGCACGACTCCGGCACAGCTCGCTCGTACGGTGGAAAAGAGGTTCTAGAGGACACCCACCTGTATAGACTGCTGGTCTGGCCCAATCGGCTCACAGTGCAGCTGTGGCTGCGGCTGCTGCTGCTGTCCGCCCATCGGGTGGTGCTGGGGCGGCCCGGGCGGTGGCTGAGCGAAGCCGTGAGGTGACTGGATGGGGCTGCCCATCAACTGCTGCCCGAACACCATCATGTGCTGGCCCTGCGGCTGCGGCGGCTGGGGCTGCCCCTGCGGCTGAGAGTGCGGCGGCTGGGGCTCCTGCGGTTGTCCCATCAGGGCTTGCTGCGCTGCCGCGTGCTGCATGTGCTGCTGCTGTTGCTGCTGGGGTGTGGGCATCCCCATGGGCGGGCCCTGCGCTGGGTGCAGGCGCTGCATGGGCATGCCGTGGGGTGGCACCATCGCCTGGCCCGGCGTCATCATCTGCGTGGGCATGCCGTGCGGCGAGTGGTGATGGTGCTGGTGAGGGTGTGGGTGGTGGTGTGGGCGAGGGGGGCTCATCCTCATCGGCCGGGGCGACATCACCATCCCGACGGGCGTCGGCTGTGGCTGCTGTTGCTGTTGCTGCTGTTGTTGCTGCTGCTGCTGCTGTTGTTGCTGCTGCTGTTGCTGCTGCTGCTGTTGCTGCTGCTGCTGTTGCTGAGGTTGTCCCTGGTTCACCTGCGGCTTGGGTGCGATGGTCCTGGGGATGGGCTGCAGCTGGGAGGCCATGCCCGGAGATTGTTGTGACATTGGGAAGGACGACGACATGTTGACCTGCGATATGCCGCCCTGCGTGACACGTGGAGGCTGGGTGTCGCCTGGGTCAGGGTAGGACTGCCAAAAGGGAAGACGAAGGAAGGGACAGCGCAAAGGAACGTTGTACGGGGATTTGTGCACAGTTGTCACTGCCAGTTCGGCAAAACAGGGAAAGAATACAATAACATGATGAAGACGGGGGAAAATATATATATACAAATGTAGCAACGGTTTTACGATTGGAATATACCATAGCTAGAATTGATGTGTGCAAGGATTTCGATCATGAGGTCATCGGTTAAAATCCTTTCTGGGGTCAACTTAACCCCAACACCATCATAATCTGGTACCCCCCTTGAGCATTGTGGAATTCCCACATATGGTTCGGACCACCGATAGAGATGAGCAGTCCTCAATGCTTATTAGAATACCGTGATAAATGCTTTGATTTAATTTGATATATTTTAGATATCAAATTAAATATTGGAGCTGAAAAGAAAATGAGCTATTTAATGTTGAAAATAAATATACCTTGAAAACTCTATTATAATAAAATCCTGATGACGTATGAGATGGTAAAGAACAGGCAAATTCAATCACTTCATGATTACAGGTCACAAAAAAACATTTTAACGTCAGTTGTAATAGAGGATAGTTGGCAAGCTTCAGGAATTGTAATGTAGATTAACCATTTTTTGGAAATCTATCACCTGTTAATGATATTTAAAAAGAAAATTGGCCACGTTTAAGAGGGTGCCGTATAAAGAATGTTTTGTTTGCGGGCTTTTAAAATGGTTGCACGTTAAAAAAACATTTAGCTTTTATTGCGAAAAGCAACGGCAATCTGCATATTAATGGAGCTGAAAGTAATAAAGGGAATTCGGCGAAAATGCTTGCGCGTTTGTTTGCCTTCACACGACTGTGGCAAGTGCTGCACACGGTGACATTTAAAAGCAACTTGAAATGTTAATTTCACTCGGGAGCGCGTACGCAAAAGAGGGTGCACGCACGCGGAGTATATGAAGAGTCTGCCAAAATGTTGAGAGCAGGACGTTAAATGTATACACACGCTCGCGGTTATGATGGTGTCATTATATTTTAATTCCATGAACCCTTAACATCAGTGTAATTAAATTATTACATTATTTGTGCTCATGACTTGCGTGCATTTCCACTAATGTTTTAAACTTGTATTTGCAAAAAATTAAGCATGGAAATCTAATTTATAAAAATAGATTATAATAATTTAAAATATATTATCCTTAATTTACCCGCGATAGTCTCATGAGTATTTAAGACACTTTTTTTTAAAGAGGATCCTGCTTCAGATGTTCAGTCAACTTCTTTCAGAGTATTTTTTTTGCATGTGGGATGAATCAGGAACAGCAGAGAATACCCATGCATGTGAGGAGATAGCAGTCAAAAAAGTATAAATAGACAGCTCAGCAACCTACTTGCTGTACAGAATTCTATGAGCTACCCTGAAATAAATGTAACATCGGCCTTAAATGGACCGCAAAAGGAATGGTGTAATTGGTCAGCTAATGCCTTAGTGCATTAGTAGCCAGAGCAAGATTACCGAGCCATAATGGGGTTAAACAGATAGATAAAGAAAGTCAAGGACACAGCCTTGGAGAAAATACAACCTGCATGCTGGCATTAACACAGCTTAAAATAAAAATATATAGATTACCGATTATTATTACACATTGTCATGCAGTTCCACATGTGCCAGTATGTTAATTGTACGCTGTTTGTTGCGAAAAAAAAGTATCATTTGATATAACATAAACCAAAAATTACAGTTTTGTGGTACAAACTGCTTGTGGTTTTGTGATGAAGGAAAAACTAAGTAGGTGGGTTTTTATTATTATTATTTATTTCTCCTCTCCCTCTCCAAGAAGGTTTGTTCTTGTAGTCCAGGTATGTTAAGTGGTGCTTGCAGGCTGAATAGAGCGCTTGAAGCGTTGATAGGGGGAACATCTTACCTTGGAAACTAAGCTGGCTCGGTATGCCGCAAGCTGCTTCAAGTACTCCTTTTTAGCTGCTTCAGTTCTTCGTTTATATGCCTAAGAAAACACATTCGAATGCACTGGCTTTACACCATGAAATACATGTGCACAATCGTGCACACACAAACACATACTCGAATCTCAGGATTGCATAGTGAAAGCTGAACTCAAACTCGCATTCAGGACAAGCCTATCGTGGCAGGGAAAAAGCCTAATGCTGGTTAAGTTACAATACATTTGAATGATTAATATGATATTTATATAAATAAATATATTTTTGTAAGTCATGCAATACAATAAGTAACGCATTTTCTTGTCTATGCCTACATGGATGTTTAGCGGAAACACGGTTGGCTACGTACGGTGCGAAAGAAGTTCAACTTACATATGTACATTAGGGGGGCACACCCTTTGTGAATCGAGTTCGATTCCTGGACACGAATTTCACTTGTGGCCATGGCCTACATAAGTGCTCACCGCACTGCCCAGCATGCTGAAGTATGGTCAAGCAACCCCCATGGACTGACGCTGCATGAGGGAGGCATTTATCAAGCAGAGGACTGGCAAAGGGCTATACATGTTATTTTAACAGCGATATATATGTGCGCGTATCGCAATAGACGTTGTGTGAATGTCATGAGATGTGGTTACATTTCTGCGAGGTTGCAATATGCCACGCAGTTCAATGCGTGTACAGCTGTATTTTAGATGGAGGTTGGAATGACATGTATTGACGTAATATAGTATTCCAAGGAAAACATTAAATTCCTGTATATTTCATGCACAGGACTTTCTTAGGCCCCAACATGCCCCCTCTTTATATCAGCTTCATGCCACATGTTGACATTCAAGGGCACAGCCGAATTCATGCGTTCGCAGGAAAGGCAGTTTGCGCTAGATTGGCAGAATCACGGAAAAATGACTGCTAAATCGAGGGAAAATGCGGCCATCCTTTGCACTAAGAGGCAACGGGGCAACAGAGCGCTTTCCTGCAACACACACGCCAGGCACCAGAGAGCACTGGACGCACAACCATTTGCGACTGTTGTTGTTGTCGTCGTTGTTGCACGCACAACAAGACAGCGCCTACCGCGCGGGCACACGGGGGCGGTGCAACGCCAAATGCCGTGCCCGCGTTAACGCGGCGCGCGGGGAATTACAAAAGCGATGCTCGCCGACCTGTTTCTGCTCCTCTCCCAGGCCGTCCCACATGGAGGCCACGATCTTGGAGACCTCTCCGAACGTGGCGCTCGGGTTCTGCCCCTTGATGGCCGCCTGCGTGTCGCGGAAGAAGAGCGCGTAGGCCGACACGGGCTTCTGGGGCTCGTTGGGGTCCTTCTTCTTTTTCTTCTTGGGCATCTTGGGCTTCTTGAGCACGGAGTCGGGAGCAGGCCGCTTCTCTCCGCCGTTCTGCACGCAACACAAAAAAGCGGTGACAGTCAGCGCCGCCGCCGATGCGACGACCCGAGCCCACCGGCAAGAAACGCCACCCCCAACGTTGCCTAATGTTTTTGTTTATTGTTAGTACTGCAGAGGCTACGCGGCCACCGTTGAAACGAAGATGCCTTGGTCACTGGTGGCGATAGCAGTATTGTGGGTGTTTATTTTATGATTTCAAGAGATCTAAAATTACACGATTAAAATAAGAAACGGTTAATACCTCTAAACAACACGTAATTGAGTTTATGTAACAGTTCTAATTGCATAGGAATTGTGTGGAATGTAATATAAATGCAAAAACATTTTAATTACAAATGTGTGCAATCAACGAACTAATCACAGTGAGGCTCAATGACTCAATTCACGCGGTGAAATATTTTCCGACAAATTTCCCAACAAAGTGCATTCATCGAGCCAATTGCAATGCAGCCAATGTATCGGTAACTGTGAGTGTGAAACTGTTCTTCATGAACCTTGCCAGCCAATGACCAAAGTTGACGAGCTGCAGACCGAGTTTACATTTCTTCACGCGCATTAATTTTTTTTTAAATTAGGTTACAACTCAAATAACCAAAGCGCACAACCCAATATGCCACCTCAGCTCTTTGGCTTCGCCAGAAGCACAGAAACAACTGCATGAACTGTAGGTGAGGAGATCCCATTTTCATACAGTTGTATATATTTAAAGAAGAAAAAAATAACAAGAATAAGTAACGTCAGGTCTTTTGGCGGGCCATGATTCAGAGCGCGCGAGTTATTCTGAGGCCGGAGTGACCCTTGGATTAGCGCAGCAGCTTCTGCGCTTTAAAAAGCTAAAATGGGATGCTCTATTTTTAATCCACATATCCACAACGATTACAATGGGGCACGGCTTGTGCAATGCTAATCAATGTACGCACTTGTGCGGGCGCCAACAAACGTTATTAAAACCCTTCAGCCACCCCCCTTAGGACAAATGTACCACCTTGACAATGCAGTGCCCATCTCTTGCCTGCTCCCTGCCCTGTCTAATTTGTTATTCAATTAAGGCCTCGGTTCACGACGTTACTAATTTGTGAACATACCAGCCAGATGCCCTTCATTTATCTTTCAAGGATAAAATACTGCTCGTTTATGGTCTTTTGCACGCAAAAAATAGCAAAGCCTCTCTCTGCTCAAAGGAGCAAGGGTCATTGCTCATTTCAGGTGGTGGAAATTCTAGATTGTCATGACACCGGGCCCAGTCTTTCCGTAGGATAAACCACTGCTGACTTCCCACAAAGTGGTACTCATTGCATTAAGTGGTACCCTTGTGTTGAGACTTCTAACCAGCAGGGCTGTGAGGTGATCAGTAGATGGCAGTACAGCTAATACATTATCTTACTGACTTAACTATACTGATTTTTGAGTTTCCACGAGTATGTGTTATTCTTCTCTAAATGTCAGCTTCATGCCACATGCAATAATACCGATTCAGGAATTGTACAAACAGCCCAATGCATGGTCCTCTCGAAATGAGCCTCAAACCTAATTGAGGCTTTTATGAATAAACAAAGTACTATTATTCTTTGTTATTATTCATCTTGTTTGTAGGTACAAGCCTGGTTGTATACTTGATTCTGATCTCATGAGAAGTCAATAGGAAACCCAGCCCTGGTGTATATACTACGGCAGATGGTGAAACAGCTTGTCCTACCGTCTCATGGACACTAACACCCTGCAGAACTCCTCGTTTAGTGTCAGAATATTGTGTATAAGTTTCAAGGCCAAGCTAAGCACATGACTCTCTTCAGTCACGGGATTTCTTTAGAAGCAAACAGGGCCCTTCTTATAAACGTGATTTATGTAACGCTAACAAGGTTGCTCTGTATGAAGACGTGCTCGTGTATAAAGAAGAGCTTAATAGACCTACTTTGGATAATGTTATCCAACAAAAACAAACAGAGCAGCCTTGTAAATGACTAGCAAGAAGTAACTGAATAGAACCACCCAGAGAGACAGGGAAACAGACCGAATAACTCAACAATTAAAGCAACTGTAAACAAGCGGAATGCTTTCCCACAGTCATACTTCATCTTGTCGGTTTTGAATGAGAAGTGAGGGTTCGTTTTGACCGCATGTGCTGGACACCAGTCAATATTTCAACATCGTCCAGAGCTCCTCCTTTCATTTTTGAGCAGAACGATGACACCCCCAGCATGCGCACCGGGTGTGAAAACGACGCACCGGATTCAATTCGGTTGACAAGCTCACGATACACGCATCGAATTGTGCAATTATTTGTCATTCACGCCGCGTGTGTTGAATGTGGTGAGCTCACGTGAACCTCGCGACTTCTGAGGTGTGTATACAATGCAATTGCAACAAAGAATCGCAACAAACCACAGTCGCGATATGGAATCGTGACGATTCGTAAAATTGCGAGGAGGGAGGTGAGAATCGTTGCAGGCCTAATGTAGGTTCATAGAAATTTGGCCAATGTGGAAAGATGGATGTGGGAAATAAAATGAGCAAATGCATGAACCCTACATACATCCATCCAGAAAAGCGAGACTGTTTGCGAGAGTCTATTAAAGCCGGCATGGTATTTATAGGAGTGATGTGGTCTGCAATAACACTCATGTCTGGCTGCCTTTGTCTTCTGCAGAGTTCATGCAAACCTCACCCCACACACGAAATACTCGATTTAGGTCAAATCAACCCTTGAGGAGACCCAGGCTGCATTTGAATACCAATTGCCACTGGTGTTGTATATGGCCTAGAATCTAACCTGTGTCAGAAGCTGAGACGTACCACAGGATTACACCACCAATCACACTTAGACTTAGAGGTTCCTGGTATATGCATTTGCACACATGTGAATATTCACACTGGGGAGTGAGTTTTAGAGGTCAGGGCTTGTTTAGACATTGAGAAAAATATATTTTCGGGAAACAAAGTGAATTAAGCTTCAGGGGAGGCTTCCCACATTTAAAATTATGAAGGGGTCAAAGCAGCCAAATTGTAGAAATGAAATAGGGATCATTTCGATGAGATTTCTATCTCCATTGTTTTTTTTTATTATGCCACAGGCTTACAACGCGTGACATCTGTACACCACACGTAAGACAGTGGCTCAGCTTTTTTTCGGAGTGGTTGGGCTAGATCCTATTGCACCAGCAATCAAATCAGAGGTTAGCTGGTTCAGGCTCTCAGCTCATGCACAATGATCATGTGCGTCGTGTACAGAACAAACACGTGTGTTATCTGCCTTGCCACTGCACGTTAAGCATCCCTCGAAAATCTTCATTAGTTCCGGCGAACGTATATGCCGTGGTCAGGTGCAAGACTCGCACCAAGCAGGGGCATTTTCGCAGAATAATAATAATCATCTAAAGCTTTGCCTTGTAAACAACACCGCATGCATGTTGACGGAACAATGACAAATTCGAGCACGTGTGACTACTGGAGGAAACACACAGCGGATAGTGAAATGAGATATAGCAGAATTCATAAAGGGACAATCTGATCATTTTGGCAATGCGAGATTGAAAACAACTATCTATGGTCAACAGCGGCCTATTCTTGTGAATAATGACTTGGGGTTATTTTCATCCATGACAACTGATAAAACAACCCCAGGTTTCATTATTACAGACCAGGTGGGCTGCCACTTCACTAAATGGCCAATCTACAAGATGGTGGCTTGCTGCCGATGATTTGGTTGTATTATCAACTGTGCTCTAGCACAATGGGTACATCATCAGAGTGTGCTCGTGTAATCATCGTGCTGTGGCCTAATTGGCACGTCATCCTGTGGGTCACTGGCCATTTTCTTATTCCAAAACCTGGCATCGTAACCCATTCAAAGCAAGAACTCAAGACGTTATGCCTCCATTTTTCAAATGCAGTTCGGTTACAATGCAAACATTGTATTTTTTTATCTATCAGAATATACGATTAGAAAAGAAAGAGTTTTTCCCTTTCACATTCTTGGATGCAAACTTAGCTAGAGAAGGGCACTGCAGTGCTTGACAAAAGCCCAGCAGCTCATCATTTCGAGGCCCAGGTTTGGATTTAAATCAAGCCCTTTACTTATGGCCAGTATACCAATCACTGTTGTTCTCCCCGGTGTGCTCTGCATCCAATATTCCTCCGGTCAATGGTTTTAATTTTGTAAAAATAACATGCAAAAGGTGTGCCCACAAACAGCAGGAAGGCCCGACTCCCATCGTGCCTTGCGTGCATGTCATGTCGCCACCACATTCGCATGAACAGTGCCCTTGACCTTGTTTCCAGCCTACACACACATTTGCCTTCCCGTTTCGACAGGCCTTCCTCATCATCTACGGAAAGTGTTGGCTTTCGCGTTGATGTTGTTGCCGTCGTTCTCATCACGTGCATTCATTGGACTTGTTGAAAAGGCAGCCTCAAAATTAGATCATGGTTTCTTAACCGGTGTGGTACATCCGATGCCTTTTCTAAACTAAACTATTATACAAATTCTCGCATTTGGAGAGCGAGTGTTGCAGCCGACATGTTAACTTTTATATATATTTTATTTTACCAGGTAAGGCCGACTGAGCTATATAGCTCTTTTTCAGAATCGACCTGGCCACAAATGATAGCTCAATGAAGTGGCTTATGACGTGGAGATGTATAGCAGCCAAATACTCTAAACACATTTTTCTAAATGTGGAGGGGAAAAACCGGAGGACCCGGAGAAAAAAAACCACGCAACCATGGGGAGAGACACCTAAACTCCAAATATACAGCAGGCGTGAGAGTCAGAATTAAACCCACGACCTCCTGTATACCTGGCGAGGCAGTTAACATCTCGCGACCGTGGCGCTCACTTACCCGAGCCGCATCGTCCGCCTCCTCGTCATTAGCCGAGCTGGTCGGAGACGGCGTGGCAGACTTGCTTCCGGGAGGTGAGGGCGAGCCGTACGGTAGCCCCGCCATGCCGCCGCCACCACCGCCACCGCCTCCCCCGGCCCCAATAGCCCCCAGGCCCAGGTGGGACTGGTTGATGGTGGTGAGCTGCCCGTGTGGTGGCAGCATGGAGCCTGGCTGGCCCAGGCCACCCATGGGAATCATGTGAGGGAAGCCCAGGTGAGGGTCGTGCCCAAAGAACGCTGGGTTAGCTTGAGCCATTGCCTAAGGGGCAGCAGCCACACACACACACACACGCGCAACACCCGTTAGCGGACTGCCTTCAGCAGGTTCCACTGAAATCATTAACAGGAAACACTCAAAGTAAATGTCACTCGCCCGATCATCCTGAACCAAGATGGAAACTGCACATAATCATAAACATCGTCGACACCAGTTGCAGCACTAGAAGCATCATAAGATGACATTTTCAATTATCTGTGAGATAAAGGATTTCAGTTTTGATATTAAGCATCATTATTGTTATCAGCAACAGCACTAGGGGCATCATCTGCAGCTATTGTCCACAATATAATTATATGGTAATTTTTTTTGTATCATATGAAGTTTCCCATAATCGTAACCAGCCATTGTCTATCCATTGCTGGATGAAGGCCTCTCCATGCTGGTATCATTGAGCTATACGAGTGGTATTTGTAGGCATCGCAACCAGGTGGCTCTGTTATTCATGCAATTGACTCACAATTGGAAGGTCGCGAGTTCAAATCCCGGTTGGGGGTCGATGCACCCCACAATCCCTCCAGGGTCAATAGAATGAGCACCATTTAAATGGAAGTGAATGGTGGGTCTCATTTGAAGAGACAATGCCCCCCCCCCCACCATAGGAATATGGAATCCTCACCACTTGCTCAGATACCGCCAAAGTAGAGGAGCATCTCTTCATTGTTTGTTTAAGCAGAGAACACAATTCAAATGTTGGAAATGAGTGTAGTGTCATTACTTTATATTCAATTGCTGGACATCATTTTTCTTTTGGTCTTCTTCTAGTTAAATTGTTTCTAAATCCCAAATCATAGTGTGCGTGTATACAGTATCGCACTGTACCGTAACGTATATACTAATGGATACCTTCTACGGTGCAAAGATAATGCAATCTTCCTTTTTCGAGTTTCTCTAAAATGGCATTTATTACGATCAATCAGAATCATCCACCCCCTAAGTCTATTGCCCTCATTATTCAGTGACCACCTGCCGCCTTATAGCGACACCTCTACCCCCCCCCCCCCCACCAAAAAAATGCCAGCTCTCAATTCAGTAAATTGACCTACAGTTTTAATAACGCCATAATACAAACATTGTATATTAAATGAGGGCAAAAAGGACCTTAAGAAAGGGCTTATTAAAGCGCCGAATTTTGGTTGAGTAAGGAATTCTGTTTTAAACATTTGGCCTTTTATAAATCGGGCACATCATTACTGTAAGCCTCTCATAATCCAACGGCATCATTACTGCGAGTGTGCTGCGCTTAAATGAGAGCTCGTGTGCAAGCCAGAAGCAGTGTCCATGCTTAGCCAGTATTGATACCCAGTATATCAGCAAAAAAATCCAATATCCACTTAAACCCATTTCATTTAGCAGCAAAACAATGCTTCCACATTTACTTTCAGTGATGTAATGCTTGCACCATGACATGGACAACTTTGTGAACACATTTAATATATCTCATTGAAACCCTATCAGCTAAAGTATTTCTTTGCTGGAAAGAAGCAAATTTATTAGCTGTAATGCTCACTGCCACAAGAAAAACCCTATCTAACAAATAAAAAACATGTTATTGGACCCTGTATGAAATGTAAACAATTCCAAGAGAAATCCTCAAGGAATCCTGCAAGAATTTACAAAACAAAACAGGGCTTTTATGAAACCCTAATGGATATTTATGTTAAAGGATAGCTATTGAGTAATGCTGACATGGAAAATTCCTACAGGATTAAATGTGGCATTTTAAATGCCACGCAAGGTTTATTTTGTATTTCTTGTCATGGTCTAACCAGTGAAACACACCATTAAAAAAATGAATCCTGTTTATTTCGTTCTTTCATTCTTACAGTTACATTTTTACATTCACCAACATGTTTTATATTCTCCTCTTTGATCATTTAACCCGAGTATTCAATTAGGGAAAAACCAGATGTAAGTGCGCACGCAAGGTAACGTCATGGCGTTCTTTGTTAGAGCAGGTACAGAATGAATCATTGAAATGTCACCGACGTCACTGCCATCTATATTTAGGCATTTTAAGTAAGATGGCTTGCATCTCAAAGCCTTCAGCTGAAAGCTGACCCCAAAGCAATTACTGTAAAACTCATTTAATCTCTAAAAATCCCTCGCAGTACATTACTTTTGGATTGATTTTCCACTACGCCACAGCTCTAATGCCAAATGCATCAATATGTGCTGTTGTCATGCCAATTAACAGAATAATAATAAAAAATCACCTAATTCGTATGAAGAAAACATGTCTTTGAAAATAACGAAACATTCGCCCCCCTTCGAATTAATTTGTGCGAACCGAAATCGCTTTAGTCCGAAACCTCATTCAAATTTATTCCAGAAATAACGCAATTCGGTCAGGATCAGGAAGATGGTGGGGTCAATAAGGAAAGAGAGAGGGAGACAGAACAGCGGGGGGATTTAAAATGGCCGCCCGTTACTGTGTCAACATTTGTGCTGGAGAAGCCGTTCATTTGAGAGCAGATTTAAATCACACGCATATGAATAGGCCAGTGTGTGACTATTGAAATGGTTTTAAGTCAATATAATTTTGCCTCAATTACGGTATTACACCATCGTCAAAATGTACGGCAACAACAAAAAATAACAACGCAGCACCGTGTTGTTAGCTCCATAAACACGCGTGTAGTCGGAGATGGTCGATAAAAAAAAGTAAAACGTGCACATTACATAAATATAAGCCATTGCTGGCAGAATTTCCCCAATTGAAAAAAAAATGAGCCCATTTTCTGTTCCGTCTTAAATCCACCATTTAACGGCACACACAGAGGTTTTGTGCCGCGTTCGTGGGGACCTACCGCTGTAAAATACATCACCTTACAAAGGGGACGTTAAAGTCGGCCGAGATGCAAATGAGAGAAGAGACGATGGTGGTGGCCTTGGAATGATTTGAACGAGTCTTTCACCGGGTTCTACTACAGTTGGCAAAAATTGTGTTTAAAATAATCCTCATTAAGATGTGTGGCTTCTTACAAAGTAATGACTCAAGGTTGAGCATAGTGATATTTAATGGAAAAAAATCAAGCCTTGTCAATTTTAACAAGGGAAATATTTGCACAAACATACTGTAATGGAAACACTACCATGAATTGCAGTGGTTTTTTTTTCAAACGTGATTCACTTTAAGTTTACAATGCATGTCGCCACAGCCTTGGCAGTCACAGATAAATGTTGCAGTCAAAAGTGGTTATGTAAATGTTGCTAAACTTTCAACAAACAGAGACTGCCAAATGTTGCTTTTTCCACTGCAATGGTACATATTGTGCCTGCTCAAAAGAACCTGCCCGACAGGTTTCTGCCGCGTAGATCGAGATGGCCTGCGCTAAAATTTGCAATGTAAAAAATGGGCACGATAGCTCTTGGCATTACTCGGTTTTCAGGAGAAACAGGTGAGGTTTTTTTTTGGGGGGGAGGGGGGGGGTGCAAAAAGTTGATGAGAGGCCAGGGCACAAACACCCTTTGAGATTCTGGAGTCACCTTGGGGTGATTTAGGCCAACGGGCGTAACCTTGGTATGCATCACCGGCTCACAGATGTCACGAGGATGTGAACCCTCAGGGCTTCTTTGCATGGTCGGCTACTGGGACAGTGACAATGTGGGTAAACAAGGCTTGACCTTCCCCTGTGACCTGTCACTGCTGTCAAAGGCAATTGCTAATGATTTCTGAGCACATGAGCGTGCACATATTCTAAACAGGGGGCTTTTAATGACGAGAGTAACAGCCAGGCCCTGTGACCTGGGCAAAGCCCAGTGCAGCCCTTCGCAGAACCTTGAGAGCAGAGGCGGTTATTCATGTAGTTAGTATTGATCATCGTTTATAGATAATAATCATAATCTTTATTCAAATATATAAATAATGCCATGTAACGGTGACACGGTGATGACCGCACTGTACTGTGAACCCAGTAGAGTTACATTCCTGACCACGTTTAATATCAGTCGGATGTGATATCTGAACCAGTACTGGACACCCGTTTGCGAACCAAACTTGATCAGCATGGTAAAATATGACAAACATGTATGGCTTAAATAGCATTTAGTGCAATAAGTTAGAAAAACGTTGTAATCCTTGGAAGCAGCAGCAGAATGTCTTAATACATTAATTTGTGTATGTGCATGAGGATGGATATGTGCTTAAGGCGTTGCGTTTACAACTCACCATGCCATTCATGTGACCTCCCATCATGCCTCGGGAAACAGTGATGGCTGGCAGGTCCAGATTTTGTGGTGGGAAATGTGGCACATACTGTCCCCCCTGTGGTGGAATAGTATCTTCCAGCCCATGATACCGCACCACAGAATCATCCAGAATCAATCCAGAAGGATCCATTTCATTGAGGGGGTTGATGGGTGGGATTTCGAACTCTTCATCGCCGAGGCTTGGCGTGTGAAATGTCTGTGGGTAAAAAACAGGAACCGTCAAATGTCATTAACTGTGAAAAATTATCACTGTGAATGTAAAATAAATCGAACAATAAAATGGTTCTAATATCTATCTACAGACAGACACACATTTAAACATTTGAATGCTCTGCTTAACAAAATTATGGACATGTGGCTTCAATACACTCAAGGTCACAAATGCTCTCTTTTAATATAACAGTTGTTCACAGTTGGTAGTACAGATCAAATAGAGAACATATGTCTGACGTGTCATTTCTCACTAGGCTGCTACAATACAAGCTAGAAAATCGTCTTTTGTACATCTCTTCACTTCAAAGTCAAAAATGTCATCTATCTACAGTGGACAATAACACACAAGGCTGGAAATTTTTGAAATTTGAAGAGGGCAAAGTTGAACATGAGATTAAAGAAATAAAATAAAATATTGAGCTAGGATTATTTTTTTTCAAGGGTTGGCTACAAAAAAACATGGGCGTGAAATCATTAAAACTGAAAATACACAGTCTCTGACATAGAACATCAAACGCACTGGTGGGATATCAAAGATCAGCATTCAAAAGACTGGCACTGATATTGCATCCTGTGAAGTTGAGACTGCTCTTTTAAATCATAAATAACCAGTGATGGCTCTCTGGGAGGGGGACAGGATTTATTAACTACAGAAAGGGGGAAAAAATCCAAACCAACACTTTAAAGCTTGTGCCTGCACTTTATTAAAATGCAGATGAAAGACAGAGTGTTTTGATTATTAAGGCAATACATGTCTTGTCGGCGCAAATTATATTCAAACGGATGTTTTTTTGAAGATACAATTTTGATACCATCCAGATGAGTAATAACTGCAATCATATTATGCATTTATTATGCATGTTTATAGAGAGTATATTTACAGTACTCTATATTAGAGAGATGTGACGAAAGTTGCCGTTTGCTTGAATGACAACTGAAGTTGTTTCTATTCAATACATCTGCAATCGCAGAAAGTTTTACTTATCTTATTTGCAGAACATTTACGTTTCTGTGTTGATTATATTGGTCTGTATACAATTATGGAACATGACCTGAGATTAGTTCCTGGCCATGAGTAACACATCAGTGGTGATGTCTAAACTGGTCCCAGGTCCCCGCTTTGCCAATACCGCAGTGACCAGCATGGTGAAGTATGATGAAACATCCCCCATGACTGACACAACACGAGGCCTTCATGCAGCAGCTGATGGTCAAAGGGCTGTGCACATTTAGTCCATAGCACTGCATCTCTGCACACAGAAAAACCTAGATGGTACTATGTTCTCCAAAGCATGAGATATTGCCGTGGCATTGCCTTCCTACGTCTCCAGCCATAGGAAGGCATTCAGACCAACCCCTTGAATTTGAGGCCCTGTGACCTGCCACTCCTACTAACCGCGGCTCAAGTCTCTCCGTGAAATATACGAATATCTGCAATGTATTCCTCACATCATGCATATATTTTTTATGCAGGTAAAAACAGTGACGTTGAAGTAGTGGCAAGTACAAGCTATTATCCACACAAGCCACCTGAAGGTACTAAATCCATCCTAATGTCCGCAACGTTTTTGGATGAAAGGTGTCACATTGAAGTTGTCTCCTGGAAGCAATAACGTCATCCCATTACCTACATTTTCCCGAATAAAAGAAAGACCCGGAAGTGGTGGTAAAAATGTATCGTATTACAGGTGTCTATTATTCGGGTAATTGTGCGGATACTGGGAGCTATATTTGCGCAGATAATAGGATCGTCTAAAAGCGCCTATTCCGCCTGTATCTATTTTTTTTTTTACCAGGTAAGGCCGATTGAGCTATATAGCTCTTTTTCAGAAGCGACCTGGCCACCGATGATAGCTCGACGAATTAGCTTATCACGTGGAAATGTATATAGGCAGCCGAATGCCCTACACGCACATTGATTGCAAATGTGAATGCAAAAAACCGGGGGACCCTGAGAAAGATCCACGCGGCCACGGGGAAAACATGAAAACTCCAAATATGCCTCCCTGTATACCAGGCGAGGGAGGTAACATCTCGCCACTGTGGTGCCCCATCCCTCCGTATCGTTGGTGGGGGGGGGGGGGAAGGAAAGAGCCTCACCACGATGCGCACCACCGGTCCGGGCCCACCGAAAGAAGGCAGCACTGCTCCCATGCTCGTTTGAGCACGGAGACATTTTGAATTGCACTTGTACCGATATATAATTTATTTACATGTTTAAAATGCATTACACAAGACTTATTTGTTTCAGACTAAAGGTCAAATTTAACACAGTTTGGCTTCTTGTCCAACAGTATCCATGAGCGCATAAGAGCAACAAGCAAAAGCCATGCCTGCAGGCATCTTCCTTCAAAATGTTACGTTCCGCATCGAGTGGGAAAACCTCTGTTTAAAACTGTTATTCCCCATTTCATGCTCGAAACCCTCTTCTCTCCCTTGCCCTTACCCTCCGTTGCAATCACTCTCCGTCTCTGTAAACACCCCCCTGTCCATAATAAAAGGGAAAAGGTAGTTTTCCATTTGATTGATGTGGATTTTTAAACAAATGTCATCAGACGTCCAGCTGGGGCATAGTTGATGATCCTGTCCTGTTGTGCATTTGAAAGTAAAATAGAAATGTATACGTGTGTGTACTGGGCTTACCCTAGGTTGACTCAGCCTAAAGTTAGTACCTTGTGCAATGTGTAAGCAGTGCCCCTAGGGAGACAAAGGTGGCCAGGCATGGTGCTGGCTAACCCACCGCCCTCGTGTGCAGTGCCACCCTTCATAGGTGCTCCTCGCTAACGGCACTTGCCCCAACAGTCTGCTAAGGCTATACGGGGGGGGGGGGAATCTTTATCTGTGTATATGCATGTATTTAAAAGGCAGGAAGGCAGGAATTGTCGCTTTCCTGTAGACAGCTAATAACACAGTGGCTGCCACACAAATAAACACAATCTGCCATTTGTGCCACACAACCCCACAACACGTGAGCACGAGTCACAGTTTCTTATTTTCTCCCGCTGAAAGCATCGTCAAATACCTCTTGGCGCTGTGGCATAGTCTGTTGAATGTCAAAGGCTGTTGTCCGGACTGCAGTTAATATAAAAACTCATAATAAAGTCACGTTAGTCAAGACTTGTTTTTTATTTGCACACGCTTTTGTAAAACTACACCTCTTGGCAGGGTGCAGTAAAACTGCATAAAAATGCCAAAATGCCCCTTGAAGTTGGGGCATATTTGCACAACGTTTCGTTTGGCATGCGTTGAGTCAGCACACCTGTCTAAGCACGCGTGTAAGCCGCATTCAGACTATCAAGAAAGGTAAAGAATTTGACGTTTTCCTTCTAAGCGTGTGCTGTGCGCGCGTGCGAGTGAATTCAAGTGGGGGGGGGGGGTCACTAAGAGACAAAAATGAGGGGGGGGGGCATGCAAGCCTTGCCAGTGAGTATTGTTGAATTTTAAATGGCCAATAATTCCCCTGAGAATGCGTGAACACACAAGTGTTACGTATTAACTTGGACAACAATCCGGCTTAATGCAGATGCTTACAGCAACGGTAACACCCCTCCCTCCTTCCGAATTGGGAAGTTGCTCAGAAGTTTTGCCCAATCACTCAAATGCCTTAGACTACGTGTAACCCTCAAGAAGCATATTTTTCTACTTACGCAGAACTTCTGGGCAAAGCGAGCGGCGCTGTTGCGTTTAGACATTTCCCACTGCCAAAGTGTTACTCCTGCACTGTTTAAATTTGAATAAGACATGTCGGTTTAAAATGGACGACGCACATTTTCTGAAAGCCATCAGGGGTTAACATCAGAGGCCTTCAGTGTTGCTCTGTACAAGAGGCACGTCCCACACCACAACACTGTACATTAAAGTCGGTGAAAGCCATTTGCTAAGAAGCACACATCTGTCTTTAATTTGGGACTGTTTTCACGTGAAACTGAACACAGAGCATAAACATGACCACAAACAGCACACCCCTTTGAGAGGCCACAGAAATTCTGACCAGTACGCGTGGGCGTGGATAAAAAGATGAAAAGCAGCCATTATAAACCTAATAAATATTCCTCAACAGCAGGATCCCATTTCATAAGAAAGCAGCGAGGCCTGGCACGATGTCTGCAGAACAAGTCAGGACCCAGATCCCCACTCGCATCTTCTTTTGGGCAACCGCAGCGCTTGGCAAATCCTTTCGGAACCCACAGGGGTCGTCAGCTGATGGCTTTCAGTGACGTACGCTCCACGATCTGAGGTCTGCGTGGGCCAGTTTATCATTTGAATCTTGACACAGTGCTAAAATATGTCAAAAAGATTATTTGCATCTGTTTGCATTACACATTTTCGTTTTTGACAAGATTGACAATTACGTGCAGCACAAATATTCGTATGGATGCTAACTTGCCGTCTATATTGGAGAGGAAAAAAACTCAGGCAAAATATTCCACATTCCCATGGCAGAGGCTAAGCTCTCCACAGGATGGTGAAATAACATTGTACGGTAAGTAAAATGTAAACTGTGAATAACTTTAATATCCCCATTTTTCGGCTGATCTCATATGTTGCATTATTTTTTGGTGCTTAGAGTCCAATATATACAAACCAAAACATAATGACACATTGCATATACACAGCCCCGATTCATGGGCTGGGTGAATTTTGGTGGAAGAATGTCCAAAAATAAAAATTAAGAATGATCAAATACCACTAAAATATCAATTAACCTTACACGCACCACATAAACACACATTGTAATGCAAAATTAGATTGTGTGTTAATACCTACTCGTAGTATCTGCACACACAGCACACAGAGGCACTTTGTGGAAGATGGGCATGCTGAATGAATGCACATCAAAGCAGATTATACAAAGTATTCATCATGTGCTCAAAGGCAACAAGGCCCACTAAAAAAAATAAGTCGATATCAAACAAAGAAAATGTATAACATTTCAATGCTTTGTGCCAGGCACAGGCCTTGAGGACACAAAAATCAATCATC